GGTCAACCCAACTGTGTGATGCTTCAAACTTATGTGATACTTCAAATTTGGGGACTATGAACTATGAATGCAGAAATCAGGGCAGAATGCTGTCTGAGGAAAGGTGACATAATCTCACAAATGTGTAATTGATTACACTGAGGAATCCAATCTCTACATAGCCTTCCATGCCTTCCTCTGGTGTCTGCTGTCCTTCCTTCCTTCCTTCCTTCCTTCCTTCCTTCCTTCCTTCCTTTTCCGTGAGACTGGGTTTCTCTGTGTAGTCCTGGCTATCCTGGAATTCCTCCTCTCTTCTTCCTTTTTCCCTTTAGACAGAGTTTATCTGTGTATCCCTGGCTGTTCTAGGACTTACTCTGTAGACCAGGCTGGTCTCAAACTCAGAGATCCACCTGCCTCTGCCTCCTGAGTGCTGGGATTAAAGACGTGCACCACCACTGTCCAGCACTTTCATTCAGAAGTTTATACTAATGAGCCCCACAAATTGAAATATCCCCCTTACCTAAAATCCAGCAAATTGCAGCATGTGAGCTATGAAGGGTGTGTGTGTGTGTGTGTGTGTGTGTGTGTGTTTGGGAAAACAACAAAGGAAGATTGTGTTATTATAAAGGAAATCCAAGTTTCAGTTTGCAAGATAGTTTTGCTGGAATGCAGTCTGCTTATAAATTTCCAGGCTCTTTGGCAGAGTTGACTGTGAAAGATGGACTCTTGAGAAGGCCTGTGGTGTCCTGGTCTAGAGTACTTGGAGACAACAGACTGAATTTTGACCCTAAATCAAAGTTGTTTCTAATAAAACCTTTGAGAAAGGTGAGTAAAACTTCACAAAAAAAATTGAGAAGGTGTGTGTCAGAAGGCTCAAGAGAATTTTGGCTGACTAGGAGAGTACAACACAGCAAGGACTCACCAGTAGAAGTGTTCTTCCACCATCTTGGTCACGGCTCTTGAGACAGCTCTTTCATGAGGGCCAAGGTTTTTGTTTAAGTTCACTCCAAGTTTCTCTTCCAGAAAGTCAATTATGAATTCTGTGCCAGACACTTTCTCATTATTATATTCAATCCAAGGCATTTTCCCTTGAGCAGAGAGCTTTCCACCAAAATAGTTCTAAATAGTATTTTTTTTAAAAAAAAAGAGAAAAGCAATGTATGTATAAATTTCACTGATTAGCAGAAACAAACATTCCAACACATGAGTACTTATGTCCATATTATTTACTCAAATGAACTCAGCATATTAACTCTTTAAGATCATTACTCTAGAAGGGGAGAAAAGGAGTCTTTTGCTGAATATCAAAGTGTTAATTTATTCCCATAGGTTCTATCATGAATTCAAATTCTATCTGGATTAGGGGAGTTAAGGGACACTGATGCAAGGAGTAGGAGAGAGAAGGGGTGGGTTCAAAATGGGAAAAACTAGCTTTAATGTGTAAACTACCCACAAATAGCAAAAGAGTGAAAATAAACCACAAAGAAGCTTGTACCAACTCAGTATCCAAAGAACTCACTTGAAATCTAATGTGTTGCATCTGAATGATGCTTATTGTCACTACACTATAAGCAAGTAGTCCCCTAAATTATCATTCCAAGGTTTAAAAAGAACTTACAACAGACTCAACTGCAGTGTCTCCTAAAGGAAATTCAGCAGGCTCCCAGTTTTGATTTGTAGCCTAGGGGTGGTACCCAGAATCTGTTCAGACCAGCTATATTTTGATCTATAAGCATGTTAGGAGGGCACAGTATCTCAGAATATCTTGACCCCAGAAGGAAGTAGGCAAATCAAGCCACACAATTTATAGGTAACATTACAGTAACATGTGTTCTCCAATGTATATAAAGTAAAGACCAAGACCACATGAGAGAAGAGGATTCTGGAGAATTTCATGTCTTCAACCACATTTCTCAATAAATATAGTCACTTAAACCTCAAAGTTGATTGTTAGAACTGAATCCACCGTCGTGCAGACTACACAACCTAAATTAATATGATTGTCACAAACTCTTTCTCATACTTTGTGCAAATAAATCATGCAAACACTTAGATAATGGCAAATGTTAGCACCTCTGAGGAAACTGGTACTCAAAAAACATGGTGGGGATGTTAAATGACCACTTCAAACCTTCTGACAGTGACTTAAGCTAAACACCCACCTCTCTTCTTAAAAAGAAAAAAGTACTTATTATTGTATGTATATAAGTGTTTGCCTACATGTATGTCTGCGCTGTGCATGCCTGGTGCCAATAGAAGCCAAAAGAGGTCATCAGATCCCTGGAACTGGAATTACAGGCAGTTGTGAGCTTTCATGTGGGTGCTGGGAACTGAACCAGGAGCCTCTGGAAGGGAGGTGTTCTCTTAATTAAAAATCCACCTCTCCAGCCCCTACAACTTTCTTCTAATCTGGCCATTTCACTCCTACGACGGGTGAGAGCCAGAGAGCATGTAGCCATGCAAAGACATGTACACAAAAGCCAGAGCTGGAGACGGCTCTGTGGTTAAGAAAAGGTAGTGTTCTTCCAGAGGACCTGAGGCTAAAGCAGGTCCTGTAACTCAATGTACATACAAATGAATAAAAATAAAATAAATATTTTAAAAATTCATGCACAGCTTTTAATTATCAAAACAGGAAAATCATTATTCCGAGGTAAATTAACAAACAAGTCTACAAATATACAATGGATTATCACTCCAGGAAGAAGAAAAGAGGAGAATCAACTATTTATACACCAATAATGTGGATAAACTAGACAGTGATAGCCTGAGTAGAATTGCCAGACTTAAAAGGACTACAGAGAGCTGGGAGGACAGCTCAGTCACTAAAGTACCTGCATTGCAAGCAGGAGGACCTGAGTTCAAGCCGCAAAATCCGCATGAAAAGCCACAAGTGGAACAGGCATCTGTGAGCACTGGGGAGGGAAAGAGAAGCAGGACACTGGGGCTTGCTGGCCAGCCTGCCTGGCCAAAATTATGAGCTCTGTGGTGGTTTGAATGGGGATCATGTGTTTGAATGCTTGGTCCCCAGTTAGTGGGACACTTTGAGAAAGATTAGGAGGTGTGGCCTTGTTGGAGGTTGTGTGTCATTGGGGGTTTCAAAAGCCTTCTAGGCCCTGCCTCCCTCTCTCTCTCTCTCTCTCTCTCTCTCTCTCTCTCTCTCTCTCTCTCTCTCTCTCTCTCTCTCCTCTTTCTCTCCCCCTGCTGCCCAGGGATCAGGATGTAAAGTTCACAGCTATTGCTCCAACACCATGTCTGCCTACGTCCTGCCATGATGATCATGAACTAAACTTCTGACACCATATCCAAGCCCCAGTTAAACACTTTCTTTTGTAAGAGCTGCCATGGTCATGGTGTCTCTTCACAGCAGTAGGACAGTGGCAAAGACAAGCTCCAAGGTCAGTAAGAGACCATATCTTGAAAATTAAGATAGCAATAGAGGAAAAAAACAACAACAGTCTATGACTTCTACATGCCACACACGAACAGACACACACATGCTGGGCGTGGAGGTGCACACCTTTAACTCTAGCCCTAGGGAGGCAGAAGTAGACAGATTTCTGTGAGTTTGAGGCCAGTCTGCTCTACAATAGTGAGTTCCAGCCCAGCACATATACAGAAGTACAATGTAAATTCTTTTTTTTAACTCTAGAAAGTATAAACTAATTTCTGGTGACATAAAGTCTATCCATAGTTGTTGAGGACAATGAAGGATGGTAGGAAGTGAATTTCAAAGAGGCACATGAAATTTTTAGAAGAAAATGGATCTTCTCACTGTATTTTGTTTTGAGACAGTCTTATGCGGTCCAGGCTAGCCTAGGATTCACCACGTAGTTAAGACTAGCCTCGAACTCCTGATCCTTCTGCTTCTAGCCCTAAGTGCTAAGATTACAGGTGTGCACCACCATCTGGTTGACACTTTCACTCTTGATTGTGACAATGCTTGCATAAGTACTCACGTGGTTAAAAAAGAAAATAGTTATCAAAATTTACAGTTGAACATGTGCAAAACATTTTGGCCATCTAATTTGTGGGCTTTTTTTTAAGGGAAGACAGTATTAGATAAAATTTGGAATATATCAGTCCTGAATATCTGCATCTCTAGAGGTCAGCAAAATCTTCCTACAAAAAGCCATGTGGTATTAAAGTCTCTACTAACAGCTCGACACTACAGCAGAGGCAGAAGAGCCAGCACCGGTCACAAGTGAACAAATTTTGCTGCTTCCAAAAAAAGTCAGGACACTGAAATCTGAACTTCATGAATGGCAAATATTATTTTTTACTCCCCCCCTCTATTTAAAAATTTATAGATGTTTCTTCCTTCTCAGGCCTGACAATGACAACCCTGCTGCAAAGGCTAGCAGCTACCCACCTTCTCTGCTAGAGAAACCAAATTAAAACCAAGGCAACATTCAGACCCAACCCTAGACAAGAAGACACCTTTTTGCAAAGGTGTATAGTTTTCTAGAGCAGTCAACTCTCTCTAGGAATCCTAAAACTTCAAAAATTTCAGAAAAAAATATTGGGGTTTTTGTTATTTGGGGGAGGGTGGACACTGGGATTAAGACCGGAATGTTGGAGAAGACCAGAGTAAAACAGAGTCTTCTAGACATCATAGGGCTACCTCACTCACTAATGCACCCCAGCTGTGGTTGTCTGCGTAGGACCTGTATAAGACAAGCCAGTCAACAACATCATAGTTGGAGAAGAGGACAGAAGAAGCCACAGGAGATGGCTGCTAGGAGAGGAAGAGTAGTTTTCTTTAAGCATGTAGCCCCTGGGAAGTTGACCATGTTCCAGTGGGTGACTCCACCCCCATGAGTAAATGGGGCCAAACAAATTGGATTCAGTGTGTTATTTTTTTATAAAAGACATAAAGATTGAAGGGAGTGCAAAGGTAGATCTGGGAGAAGTGAGAGGGGAAGAGCTAAGGGTGAATATGATCCAACTACATTGTAAGCATGTGTGAGAAATTCTTAAAGAATTCATAAAATTACTGTATTAAAAAATCATGTATATGATCCAACTACATTGTAATCATTTGTGAAATTCTTGAAGAATGAATAAAAATTATTGTATTAAAAAATCATCATGTTGTGACTGGAGACATGGCTCAGTGGTTAAAAATACTAGCTGCTCTTCCAGAGGACCTGGGTTCAATTCCCAGAACTCTCTGGGATCTGACATCTCACAACCATCTGTAACTCTAATCCCAGGGGATCTAATGCCCTTTTCTGACCTCTATAAGCACCAGGCACACACATACACGGTCCACAGACATAAAAACAGGCAAAACACCCATACACGAAATAAATAGATAAATATGTATTTTTAAATCATTCAACTTGCTTTTGCCTAAGTCACACTAAGATTTGTATGTGCCTTTCCCAGAAGCCAGTGGGGAATGTTACCTCAATGGCTAACAACAGAAGATGTCATCTCTCTAAGGCAAATCTTTGTCTAGGCATTGCCCTTCTTGCAAATTGTGTATGGTATACACTGGAATATGCCCTGCTTCTGAGATCTCAGTGAGATCACAGGGTTATGGTGACAGGGAAGGCATCCTTTTGTGCCCACAAGCTTCAGCTGAGTTTCAGGGTCCTGAACTTCTCAAATTGGTAGGTGGTCTCACCTTCTCAGAAGGCTCAAAAGTAGAGTGTGAAGTAGTTAAGTGCCACATACCACTACCTTGGGTAAACTGGTCTCTGTTCGTAGTCTTGATACTTTATCTCATTGCTTATTATCAAATGATAATACACAGTTTTCATCATTTAATTTAATTATCAATTAATTTCAAGCCTAGCCTGAAAATGAGGGATAACTAAATCTAGATTGTCTATGCATAATTTAGAAAATGGAACCTCCTCTAGTAGTATACTCTATGCCAAAAACCTTTGGTCATATACTGCTCTACAGTAAACAACTTGCACAATCATACATGGCCACTACCTGGACATTCCCCTAATGCTAACTAAAAGAAATGTCACACATCTGTTGCAGGATATTAGTTTACACTGTGAAAATGTGTTTTTGCCAAGGCATCTTCTGATTGGTTTAATAAAGAGCTGAATGGCCGATAGCTAGGCAGAAAAAGGTTAGGTAGGACTTCCAGGGACAGA